CTGCATTCCAGCATCAAAGGGTGGTATATTTCTCTTTTTCCTTTTCACACCTACTGACAGGATAAAAAGGGAAACGAATGCTGGCACAGAGATCATTTTCTCCCTTTTCCTGTTTTATTCAGTTAGAGGTTATTTGCTCCGGCACATGGGATGGTACCATACACATTCAGGGGGAAGCTTCCCTCACAGACATACCCAGATGTGTGTCTCTGTAATCTGCCAGCCTGGTCTGTCACCAGGGTACCCTGTCCCTTTAAGAGATAAGCCCCACCCCCTCCCAGCCTCCCCCTTCAGCCAAGGCAAGTGGATCTCCCACTCTCTCTCCTCCCCATCCCCTTCTCTCTCTGTGTCTGTCTGCACTTCTTCTGGAGAGGCAGCTTCTGCCTCTCTCTTCTCCCCCCTCCTTCCCTTCCCCCTCCATAACCCACTAAATAAACTCTAAGCCCAAACTCTCTCTGCATGATGTATCTGTCTGTCTGTCTCCCCTTGAGGCCTCAGGCCACCCACCAGGGGACCCAGTGAGGACTGGGATGACCCAACACCGCCCCTCGTGGGACTGGTCCACCACCATCTTTTTACAAATGATAACATTGATGCTGTGAACTCGGCAGGTTGACCCTTGCAGCTGAGGACTGCTAATGGATCCTGTAATCTTCTAACTCTTCTTCTATAAGGTTGCTTTTCCAACTTAAAATTACTGGAATTCTATACCCAACATTAAATTGTACGTTCCTCCCACACATCTGGCCATGTCTCCTTGAGTGTGCGATTGCTCAACAGTGGTTCACCCATGCAGAAATGGCCCAGTACTGATCAACCACTTGTCCATCATGTTTTAAGTCCCTCGCTCAGGCCACCGACTCCGCATGATGACGTAGGGGTTTGATTTGTGCTCACCCGTTCTCATGGCCCCTGGACTTTGAGTGACAACCCAAAGTCAGCTTGAGCAGGTTCCATGCTGAACTTCCAGGACTCTGAAGTTCAGTCTCTGGATCTTCTTGCCTTACACATGGAGACTGTGTCAAACACCACCCCCTTATCAATCTACATACATAGCTGCCTATCATCAGCTTACATTCTGCCAGTGATTGTTGGTTGAGAATTCAGCCTAGTTTTTCTATGTTTTTCTATCTGCTTTTTGTTCCCTGCACATATTCACACCCATACTATACTGTCCCGCTTCTGCCAGGCCCTGCTCTATCTTGTGGGCTCAGTTCTGGCTCCTGGCTTGGTAGCATAATGGGCACTCTGTCCGGCCAAGGCCCCTGTGCCGCCTCACACCGTAGTGGCAGAATCTGTCTCTTGTCCATTCACAGAGCCTGTTTCTAACACTGCTGCGCAGCAGGCGAAAATCCTAAACCTGGACTTTCCACCAACCCACTTCCCAACTTTCTCAGTCTGCTGGGACAATTGGTAAGATCACCTCAGACACTTCTCATGAACGAGGTTCTCGGGCTCCGCCCTACAACTGCACTCATTGAGCGGTTCATTTGTTTTTAGGGTCCAAGTTCCCTCAGATCTCTGGATCCTTTTGGGATAGTGTTCCCTTTTAGCCCTGGCCCCCATCATCTAGTGGACGAATGGGTAATGGCCTGAACCAGTTGTTTATTTTCCTGCCTCACTCGTGGGAACAGGCTGACATTTCTAATTTCTACCATCAAACAAGCAGATTAAAAAGTTCCTATCCAGCCATGTTCTGCACTGCCCGTGTCCCACTGGCATCTCATGCCCGTCTGCTTTTCCTTTCCCTGGGCAGCCCCACCCCCACTGCCTGTAAAAATTCTTTTTCTCGCTCCTATTCTTTTTCTTGCTTCTATTCTGTCTCTGCCACTGCTACAGCTGCTGATCCTGCAGTAACCAGCAAAACTGGCTGGATCCGAGGTGGCTGTTCCACTCCCAGCCCTCACTTCCCATGGTGACCCGTGCACAGTGGTTAGTGATGGCTGGCAGTGCTGAGTAATTTTCCTGTCTACTTC